CCTCAACCCCAAGGCTAAGCATATATCTACAACTAGTGGTAGACCATTCTTCTAAATGGCTGCATACTATTCCATATGGTGGGAAGAAGACTAATTTATTCAATCCATTCATCAAATACAATTGAAGCAAACCACAGGACCCTAGCATGGCTGCAAAATAATAGTGCCACATAGTCTGCAAGTTCTTTATACCTCATTTTTCTCTAGCTTACAAATAAAACGAGGTAGTGGAGAGACTTTTGGATACTGATCAATGAAATACCTATTAAAATACCATGAACACACTGGAAGTGTCTTTATCAGATTCAGAAATGATCCCAAAGTTGTGAGTTCCTAGCAAAATTGATATGTTTGGTCTTGAAAAGCAATCTGGCAGTATCTGTGGAGCCATAAAAAGGTCACACTTTAAATGTGAACTTGACTGGGTCACCAGGTGCCCCGATATTTGGTTAAACTACTTGTGTGTCTTTGAGGTTGTTTCTAGAAGAGATGAACATTAGAATCAGTAGACTAAGTAAAGCAGATTGTCCTTTCTGAGGTTTTTAGGCCTCTCGGGATCTGTTGCTGACTGGCTCTGAGCTAGGCTACAGGCTTTCCTTCTACTCAGACATGGGAGCTGACCTTACACCACTGGCCCACCTTGTTCTCAGGCTTTATGATTTGACCTGGCTCTCCTGATTTTGCCACTTGATGACTGAAAATATCTTCTTAGTTTCCATAACCACACAAGTCAATTCCTTAGCGTAAAACTGACTCCTATCTGTGTTTACTATATTGCCTATTGTCTCTGTTTCTCTGGACAACCCAGACTCATACAGTACCCCGTGACAGTACCCCTGAGACTTTTATATATATCAGGGGCTAGTGTCTAACGCCTATATTCCTATCTTCTTGGGAGGCAGAAATCAGGAGGATTGACATTTAAAGCTAGCCTGGGCAAAAAAGTTTAAAAGACCTCTGAACAGAAAAGCTGGGCATGGTGACATGCGGCTGTTACTGAAGCTACAATGAGAAGTGTAAATAAGAGGATCACAGTCCAGGTAGACACAAGAGTTTGAAAATGCAAAATCCCCAACTCAAAAATAAGCAGAGCTATAAGGGTTGGAGGTGAGGCTCAAGTGATAGAATGCCTGCCTGGCTAGCAAGTGTGAAGCAGTCGCAGTATTGCCAAACAAACAAATCCTAAGTTGTATACATGGTTACTAACCATAGTGTTATTTACAATAACGAAAACTGGAAACAGCACACATGTTTAACAACTGGGAAGCTGAATAGATTATGGTGCATCTATTTGAAAGAAAATTACCCAGGCATTAAATGAATAATTTTGAATACTAGCAACATGGGAAAACACTTAGAAACTGATATAAATTTATTTAAACAAGAGCATTAAATTATACAAGCGTATAATTACAACAAGTGCTGCACTGTAAATAATGTATTATAAAATTATACATGATTTTTTTCTTTTCTGTCATGGGACTTGAGCTCTGGGTCTGGGTGTTGTCCCTCAGCTCTTCAGCTCCAGGCTGGCTCAAGTTTTCTGGTGGTTTATTGGAGATAAGAGTCTCAGGTACTTTCCTGCCTGGCTGGCTTTGAACTGTGATTCTCAGATCTCAGCCTCCTGAGTAGCTAGGATTACAGGTGTGAGCCCCTAGTGACCAGCTTACTTATGATTTTTAAAACTTCCTTTTACCAGCATGCCATATGTCAAAAAATAAATCAAAGACATAAAATAAAAACAACGAAAAGCTTGAATTATCAGTAGTTTTAAAAACTAGAACCCACTTCAGAATTTAAAAAATATTTGTAGGGCATTGGTGTTTAATTATCTAGCTACTCAGGAGGCTGAGGTCTAAAGACTGGGATTTGAAGTCAGCCTAAATAGGAAAGTTCATGAGAATTTTATCTCCAATTTTTTTTTTTTTTGGGTCCGGTCGTGGGGCTTGAACTCTGGGCCTGGGCGCTTCAGCTCAAGGCTAGCTCTCTACCACTTGAGCCACAGCACCACTTCCGGCTTTTTTCTTTTTGCTTATGTGGTGCTGAGGAATTGAACCCAGGGCCTCAG